CCATGAATGGAAAAGAGCAAAAGTAAACGCTTTATTTTATCTGCGTTCAGCGCCAACAATTCCTCGACAATGTGAAATATAATCTTAGGGGTGAGTTATTCGGATACGAGGTAGAAAGAACGATTATCCGGATCGACTCACGACAAAAGTAAATGAGAAAGTGAGGGGGAGGGGGGAATAAAAGAGTAAACACTTCCGTTTTACTTAAACCCCCTGTGTGCCAGTCACCCCCATATAATCAATATAGGATGTAACGAGAATTTTATTTAGCCGAATAAAATAGGAAGAGCCATCTATTCGCATTTGCTTCGTGGCAAAAAGCGGCTCGATTATAATCAATCATGATAAAATCTTTTCGGATATTTTTTTTTTTTAAAAGAGCTACTGTATTTTAACAATGGGATGTTATAATAGAGATATAAAAATGTAAAAAAATCAAAATAAACGAGATACGAATATCACGAATATGCGCTTTACTTAACACTTAAATTATATTAAGTTGTATAAATATTTAAATTATATTAAGTCGATATTTTGCAAATATGTTTGAAATGAAAATGTCCGATTTGTAAAAATTCGGTCAATCGGATAATTGCGATTTTTACCATAATCGCAGTAATATATATTTATTACTTTTAATAGCAAAGCTATTAATTGAAATATTACGTCAAGTGTGAAAATTGAAAATTTTGCATAATTTCTAACTTTATAACATATATTAAAAAACATATATTAAAAAAATAACAGACATGGGGGGGAAGGGTACACATTATTTATTAACGTAGTAAGAAGGAAAAGGAATACCCTAAAGATCCTAAGATAATAACAATATAGGGGGCAATTGAGAAAATAAAAGAGAATTATTTATAAAGGACGAAAAGCTTAAGATATTTAGAAGGGGAAAAGCCTAACACACATATATCCATATTTAATTACTATTCCAATTCCGTAGACAATGAGAAATTAATGAGCGATCGTTTGATTATAAAATACCTTCCGATATCGTGCGAACGATTACAAAAAGGTGCATTTTTCTGTTATTATTAAATCGTTTCACACGTTTAAAGATAAATTGATGGAGAGGAATTGAAATATGGCGGAAGGCGTGGTGTGCAAAATTTTCAGGGCGAGAAAACGAATGAAAAAGATCGATATAAATCACTATCCGCAGAATGCCTGAAATCTAGGTTGCCATCATTCAAAACTAAAGCGAACAATTCGCGAATGGCTGGAAAAAATGGCTCGGTAAACGCAAGACATCTTTTATATTCAATCAATGCCCTAATTCCAGATATCCGATTTTTTTGATAAAAATATTTATGCAATCTGAGGAAGGACTATTTTCTTCGTTGTGCTTTTGCAGCCTCGGGTTACTTTGTGATTATTGTTCTTGCAAAAGTAGCAACCACATAAACTTACCTGTTTCATAACAAAAAAAGTGTAAGCTTAAGCAACTATAAATTTAAAAAATTTTCGAAAATTTTATATAATTATGATGAATTTAGAGATTAAATTACGAGATCTTATATCATTATGCAAGAGGATACAATGAATGACAATGCATACTTTTGATTGAAAACTAGTTTTTATTTTTTTTTTTTTCACTATTTTCGCGCACATGTACATACATACATATTTTCATTGAATATCACAGATATTTAGAATTACAACGAGTTCGATCGCGTGAGAATGCATGTTTCGTTACATCCGAAGCAGCGAAACTCAGTAAGAAATGAAAAGTAATGTAAATTGATAACGCATCTAAATTTATTAAGTTGTTTCTCTAGATCTTTCATCGAATAGACCTTTCAATAATTTCATGTAACATAACATTTGTATTATTACTCCATTTTATTTTTTCAACATATTTTCTAAAGCTTCGATATCCGACAATATTTAATTCTATTGCAATTTATTTCGTTATCGCATGTAATAAGCGCGAAATGAATATCAAAATTAAAATGCGAGGATGTTATTATTTTATAATTAGTAAAAATTTATTTCCTTGCGTGATTTCCATTAGCCTCCAGTATTTACTGCATTGAAAATTACGGATGTAATAAATGAGTTATGTTGCAAATGTGTTGTGTTGCAAATTATTACTTACTTGTATTTTGCCAAGCTGTGGTTGTTTCGTAAAAAAAGCTACGATCACAATGATTGTAAAAAAGATTAGTCTTAAAATCACTTATTATTTTCTACAATTCTTCGTGACATTTTTTTCTTGCATGCGTGGACATACATTCATATATTATTTTATACAAAGGAAATCGTTAATTTAGAACAAAACTGTCGAAATTCAGAGATTATTATTTTCCAAATTCTCGTAAAAAGTCGATATTTTTATTTTGCCTTTTATTTGAAGCTGCGACATCCCATTGTTTATGAGATGTATTAATGTGTATAGTTTTTAAAATTTCTTATTGATATTTTAATTTACACAACACTCTTTCAAACTAATTATTTTTTTTAACGTGAAAATAAATTTTTAATGTTTGTTTTTAATGTTTCTGTTTTTCTGATCTTATTTACATTGTTCATATATTATGAATTTTATTTAATTTCTGATTAATGAAAATAGTAATTAAAAATGATTTAAAAATTATTCTCTCATTTCTGAGCTATCGAAATGTAACTTACGAAATCATGCAAGAAAATGTAAGAATTTTAGTATATAATAACTATTAGCTTATAAGTAAAAATTCACTAATCGAAGTAACATCTTCATCTGTAAAAATTCATCTGTAAAAATAATACTTTAAATCTTACACAGCTGTAACATAATATGTAGGCCCATTCGAAGAATGGATTTAGTATTAACAAACATAAAAAATCATGTTAGTATATACCGACCTTCCAATTCGATCTTATTCGGTTTTATATTTTGTATTTTATATTTTATATTTTTAAAAGCTTGTTTTTGCGCATTTTTATAAAAAAATGATTACCCTACAAACATGTAAATATCTGGTCATTAATTTAAAAATAACCATTTAAAATAACTTATTAACTTTAAAAGCAATTACAAATTTTCGATACGAAATACTCTCCGTGAACTAAAATAATTCATAGAACATTACAAAAGTGCTTACAGAGTCGAATGTAAAATATACTTTTTATAAAAAGTTGTACACAGAATTAGATACATTAGTTGAATTTATTTAGATAAATTTTTGGAATACAGCATTTCAAAATAAGATTAAATTTTTCAAGTATATATTTATATAAACTTTTTATTGCTTTTAATTACTGAAATCATTCTTAAAGCGGATCTTTACATTATGTTACATCTTGTATCACAAGTGATATATGAAAGTGACAAATATTTAAAAGTTATTCACAATTCTATGAATTCTCTTTCTCTAGACTTTTTTTAAAGAATATAACAGTATTTAGTAACATTAAAATAATAATTCATATATGTGTCATAATATATATTTATACTTTTGATAAGATGCCAATATTAATGAATTTTTTTTTAATTGTGCTTTTACTCACACAATCGATCAAAATGTTAATCTAACGTGTTGAAGATTGCTTTGCCGCATAAATATTTCATGAATTTTAATAATATAAAAGCTACATTTATTCGCTTTACTTTTTATAGAAATAAATCTTCGGTTTAACATTTACATCTTATTGATGATTTAAACTATGTTTTTTATAGATTATTTGAAAACTATAACTATAACTATACTACTACGTAAAGTAGGCACTTTTGTACCTTTGTGGTACATTAATGTTTCTCATCAAATATAAGACGTTAGTACAGTCTTATCTCTGCTCTATGACTATAGAAATTAAGGAAGAAAACTGGAATACAATCGTAAAGGAAGTAAAGTAAAATGAAAAGGAAATAAAAATATTTCACCATTATTCATGGCACGTAAGAAGGCATGATTAATATAAGTCTGACACCAATAATAAAGCATATACTTTGGCTTATTTATCTAAACATATGTAAAATCAATATTGCTCAATAATTATGTAATGCATAAAGTAAATGTATAAATAAGCAGTAGTTTTTCATAAAAGTATAGTTTTTATAAAAAAGTTATATTTTGTTTTTTATTGTTTAATTGTTTAATATGTAACGGCGTAAATTGACTAATTACAATAAAAATTAAAAAAAATTTTATCATAAATTAACGAACGAACATTTATATATGAACTATTAAAATGTTTCAACACTAAAAATATAAAAGAAGTATTTATGATCGACTGTTCTTAGTACGTAGTAATCATTTTTTTATTTATATATATAAATAAGTTATTTTCGATAGATCATTAGTAATATAGTTGGCACATAGCTAGTGACAATAAAGCCTATTGAATTTGTTTCTCTGTTCCTTTTTAAAAAAGTATATGTTAATATGTTACATCGAAAGTCAAAAGTATTGAATCGAATCTATCGAAGTTTATTATTATTTCTTTTCCGTGATACCGATTAATTCTTATCATTAATTGCAATAAATTATATTTCATGAACAGCTATCATCGTGAAGATTTTGTATTTTGATAGTGTATCAAGAAATTAATAATGTAATAATATATTAACTTTTAGTTTTGTTTAAAAAAATAAATATCGCGCATATAGCACATCTGTAATATCTAATATATATAAATTTTAAAAAATTATTATACATATTTATCAAGTTTCTACTTGTCAAGTTTTAGCAAGTTTCAGCATGATACTAATGATATCTTTCTTATTCTTCTATATATCTTTTTTTCTAGTTAAACAAATCTAGATAAACAAATTTATAGCTCTTAGAAATTATTTTCTCAATAATAAATTTTAGAAAAAGGAATCACATGGATCTTATGTATAAATCGCACAAATTTTTTTAAATATATAAAAGAGAATACAAATTTTAAAAGAACAGTGTTTTTAACAGTAAATTCATGCAAACATTTATAGTATGGATCTCGCTTTGCATAAAGAACAATTAACCTATTCTGATTAATTCAAATATCGATACGATATATCTTCTAAATTAAAAGAACAAACAATTTCTTGTATTTTACTCATACGATACAAGAAACAATACGCATGCTCAATACTAAATCGGATTTTTGGCATCTGACTTATAATAATCACGCCCACATATACATAAGAGGAAGCAATTACTATGTATCATCTCTTCTTCGAACATCACCATCGTATTTGGATATCAGCACTTGACTCTCCTCTCCTCTCCATTTTTGTCGTATGTAAATGAATAATCCGATGAAGAATATTAGAATTCCGATTCCTGCTATTCCGAAAAATGTTACAGTACCTAGTGATGGAAGAATCAAAAATAGCTGAACTTTGTTCGCGTATGTATCAGTTAAATTAGCCTCTTGAGTAAACCATAGCATCGGAATATAAGTCTTGGTTATATTCTCGAACATGCTGAAAAATTATAAAAATAAATTAAATAAAAAACGTTTTCTTATCTGTTTTGTCAAATTATTCGTTTCGTAAAAAGAAAGATTCTATGCGCATTTGTATAATCCTTAGTATAATTAAAGTGGCATCTTTTCTTTCGATTACTCAAAGCAGTTTCAATATAAAAAATTTTCAAGAATCAATATTTTATATAAATCACTAATATAAATATATAAATCACGTTTTAAATATTTTTTTATTAAATAAAATTCATTGTTTTGTTACTAATTATATAGATATATTCTAATTGACGGTTCACAAATTTGGTCTTTTTTTATGCAAGTTCTTTTTTTTCCAGATTTTGTAATCTTTCGTAATGTTCATTTAATCTTTATTTTATATCTTTATAATATCTTTATTTTTGGTGTTATGAAATTACACTATTGATTATCTGTGCTATGCCTGTCTACCACTTACCTCATGCCATCCACTGGTTCCACCAATAAATTTAACTGCAATTGTGCCTTAACCAATAGTGGAATACCTGTAGTCTTTAAAATTTCTTTTGTTTAATATTCACTGTGTATTCACCGTGCTGATAATAATGATCATAATGATAATTTACGCGAAATATTTACCGGCTCCAGGACAAGTGATGATTTGTGTTTCTTTTCATCTGGTAACATTCCCGTTATGGCGTCCCTATAACTTGGATCTGCTAAATAAAAATGCGGCATACTAACAAAAGCTGGTGCTCCAAACTTGCACGATGAAATATTTAATGTTCCACTAGGTCCACAATCTCCATTGGGACAATAACATTTTCTGGCGACTACAGTTTCACCGTTATCGAGCGTACTTTTATCTCCAATATACTTCCTTCCAGTTAGACCTTGAACTGTCGTTGTATTCACAAATGACAAAGTCAACGACCTGAATAACAAACGAACAGTTTAAAACATATGAACTTTTTTTTATTGTTATATTCGAAATTGCTTTTGAATAGATCAAAATCAAATTTTGACATGCACATTCCAATTTGCTCAAAATTTAACACTAGTCTTTTTGAAAAGAAACTAAAGATATATTTTTGATATAAAACTAACAATGAAATCAAAAGCAAATAATTAATATATATATCTTAAATCATAGCAACTTATGTAAACGGTATTTATTAAATATTATTAAATATTTTACCACTCACGTGCAAATATCAGGGATAAATAAAGATAATGTTTTATTATCTTGCAATGGTGGCCAGAAGTCCCCAAGTGTTCCATCTATCATACCACACGAACCTTCATAATTTTTCGTTCGATTACTATAATTCCACTCTTTGAGTATTCCCATTTCATACAAATTATTTGCTCCAGTTAACATATTAAATACACCATCGTAACTAGCTGAACCGTTTCTCTAAAAAAAAAAAAAAAAAAACGATTTACGTTCGCAACCATTTTGAACTGCTTTACAGAATTGCATGTTTCTAATTCCTTGAACTCACCGCGTAGAACCATCCAAATTTAGAATATGGTAATTTGGTTACTTTCATCTTTCGCGCAATATCCAGCAACGTGTCGTTGAATCCTTCGAATATCAGCGCGTTGACGCTTTTAGTTAACACTAGTTTCTCACCTAAACGCACCATAAGCCCGTTGGCTAATTTACGTATAATTGTGTTTTTATATTTTACAGAAAACCCAAGTGTCTAAAATTAGATATTGCATTGTAAATTGTACATTTATTGAAAATTATACGGTAATAATAATGCGTGCAAATAATTACGCTTTACCGCGACTATTGGATTTAGGTTGGTAATTTCGTCTGTTAGACTCCCATTAGACAAGGATTCCTCAAAGATCCAAACTTTCTTCCTTTGAAACGTGACGGTACCATTGCTATTCCATGTTTGATTCTCTTTATAATCAATTTCTCTGCGAAAGAACATACATTCCTGATATCCTATCGTAACCTTTCGAGTAATGTGAGATATGTTATAGGAGCAATGTTACCGAAAAACATAAGGCCCCATTTCTTGAAAATGTGGTTTTACACCTGATGATGAATAAAACTCGTGTGGATTAGTCCAATTGAACATGTAAAACTTGAAGTACATTGGAATAGGAGTTTCCTGCCACATACTATATGTCATAGACGATGATGACAACGTCAATAACTGCACAAAAAAATATATGGATTATAAATACATGATTCTTATACGTATG